CCGATGATGTATTGCATGCCTGGGTAGAAAGTGCTCTCGGCAAGGCCGATAAGGAAGCGTAGAGCGTAGATTGTTTCGGCGTTGTTGGCACGGCAAAGGCAGAACGTCAAGACAGCCCAAGTAAGCTACCGGTGTCAGTACTCATTTCCCAACGGCGCGGTCACCTCATACAAGGGAAAAACTGAACACCCGGGAGCCTACGTTGCCGTTAGGCCACCAACTTCGCAAGCTTTTATCTTGATGTAGGCTCTTAGGTGTTCGGTTTTTCCCTTGAATGGGGTGCGGTGGTGCGGAATCATACCTCCATTGCGGGTATCCAGATTGACGGTCGAATGCGAGTCAAAATGATGTTGCTGGGTATCTCGCCGATGACATAGCCTACAGTCCAACAAGTTTGCATGTAGTTGAGCTGGTTGCCGTAAAGCCCAAGATCTTCTTTCCTACTCTGATGTCAGCCAGTCATCGCTAACGGAAGACAGATACATACATTCCAGAGACAAAAGCGCTGTTAATGTTCATCTGGTCAAGGTACTTGATGAAGTACCCCAACGATGCGAAGGTGAGTAGAGCGGCATCGAGTTTGAACATAAACCATCGCTCTTCTTTCGGCTTGTCCAAGGTATCCCAGAGGTAGTAATACCACTTGTGCGGCTTCGCTTTCAGCTCTTCGTTGGTCTGAATGACGGTCGTAGCTGCGACTGCTTCCGTCGAGATATCCTGAGGTCGACCCATCTTCGTGAGGCTTCAGTGTGAAGCATGTGTCTGGTGTCTGGAGAGGCACCGGCACAAGCCTCAGCTTTATTGAACAAGCAGCACAAGGCCTTCTTTGCCATAGCTAAGCAGCGTTTACGAGGTCACCCGTTCAGCATGGCGCTCGGCGCGTCAGTGGCGAGTCGATAATGCGCGGTAGGATTCGTAGCGCGATTCGACATACTGGGGCTGGTATGGCGTTATGACAGGGTTCGCGTGGGGTTCGTGCGACATGTAGACAATCTAGTCTGATAAGCACGAACGTGAAATGCGTTTCCGGTATGCGTAGGCTCAAGATCGTCGTGATGCATGGGAGTGGTGTGGCGTCATGTGTCGTGATCAGGCATGCAGATTGCGTGCCTGAGTCGCGCAATAATCATGCAGAAAGACGCGGGAACCTCAACACATTGCATTTGATCATGTGACTGTAGAAAGCTCGTCTGCGCTGTTGACTGTCTGGGCAGACTGGCCGTTGCCAATGAGACATGTTGTATTCATCCAGTATATCATATACACGTCGCTTCAAACCGCTTCTCAGGTATGGGGTTAGCAAAGAAAGCTTTCATCCTCTCAAGCTGCTCTGCCCTTGCGCGATGCCACTTCTCGGTATGGCCATGCAACTTATCTTTACCGGCTTCTTGTAGATCAGCATTGACCCAGTCCATAAGCTCGTCGACATAGCTCGCTTCTTGATCTCGCAGACTATGGAATGACTTGCCATAACCTTTACTCTCCACGCGTGCGTTGTACTCCGACCGCATAGCATCATAGCTGGGAAGCTTGGCCTGGCCTGAGAGCACCTTTGCAACGACCATAGCTTGGAACTCGAACAGCGTGAAGGTGGCCGTGAAGAAAGGCACGCCAACAAAGGCGAGGGTCGGATCGTTGATGTAGAAGATATCTTTGTGTAGATTGTGGAACTGTGTACCATCCGTCACCAAAACCGCGTCGTCGGCATGCTCGACTGGCGTCTCGTCTGAGGTGAGCTGTGGTAGGAAAGGCAGGGTGAGATAGTAGCCAGTGCAAAGTATTACATGGTGGATATCACGGATCTTTGCGCCTGACTTCAATGTGACGGTTGTCGGAATCGCTTCGTCGGGGTTCAGTGATGCTGATGCATATGCATTCGCGCGTGGTTCGTCGTACGATGCCACCTCTTCGATGCGGAATGCATTGTTGGGAAGCATGCTAGGAGGTAGATCAAATTTGCCATTCCTTTGGCTCTGTAGAATCTTGTTTGCGTACGGGCTTAGTTCGCGAGCAATGTCCGTCGCGGATACACTTGCACCGACAAGTAGATAGTTCTGGAGTATTATCAGATCACGACGACGTCGTTTCGCTCAGCCTGGCGCACACGTACCTTATCTTGGGCATTCTCGGGCCTTCGGTAGCTTTTCGAATGCTGCACTCTACCAGGAAATCGTCGCTTCCACTCCGCCAGTCCAGGCGTGTCGGGAACTCTTGGTGTGTGGTAATGACCGGACGCAATCACTACCGCGTCAAAGTCCTAGCCCAAGATTAGCAAACTCCAGGCGCAGCCAACATCAGAACAATACTGACATGAACGGATACACGTCGCTTAAGCGCACCTTCCTCAGTCTGCAGAGTCGCAGTCTCGACCGTCCATGATTTGCCCTTCTTCGTAACCCGTCTCACGTCGGTATCGTACCGGGTCAACCCATGCACCCCAGTCGAGGCAGCAGTAGCTTGTATGTAGTCGCATAAGACTCGATGCGTCACATAATCCTCAGTCCCAGGCGGAAACGGATTCAAGGTGGTTTCCAACAAGCGCGTGCTCACGTTGTTCTTCAGGCCCACATAGCATGGACTGTGTATGGCCAGTCAGTCCAAGGTACCGTTTGACGTATATTTGTAGGCCCTACCCAGGTGGCGCATGGAGCAATCTCTCTGTATCCTCCGTCTCCTCGGTCGCATGAACACTATCGGCTCTGGACACCTTGGTTCCCGAATACGGTGGTTCCAGGGGTATTCGCTCATCGTAGAGCCTGTTCAGCTGTCAGTTCTGTCTGAGGGGCATGAAGTTGGACCGTGTACCAGATGCCTCCTGCGGCACTCGATCGCTCAAAAACAGTGACCTCGACACCCTCTTTTTGGAGATGAGCTGCAGCTACCACGCCACTGATGCCTGCGCCAATTACAGCAACACTTTTGCATCGGAAAAACATGTTGGAAATATTGCTTGTATGCTGAAGGAAGTTTTTCGCAGCTTCGCGCGTGCAAATGGAACGCGACTTTTCAGCCGACAGCAACACACGCAAGCCTCCCAACACTCAATCATGAATGCCATCTACCCACTGTCAGCATTCCTTGATTGTGCCTCGGCTATAGCGCTTGTCAGCACAGTAAGCATCTCAACTGGGGTGTAGCTAGAAACAAAGCGCGATGGTGGATACGGATGGCATCATGAGCGGCCATAAACGCGTGGGATGCACGCAACCAACACCGACGCACCTATTTGCGACTAAGGTGTGATCTCAGTTCTCGATACATTTGAAATGAAGCGAAGTTTGTCCGAGCGATAACAGGAGAAGCGTTGAATGGGTATTCGTCATCTGCAAGATTATGATGTGATCGCAACCCCGCAACATGTGTCGCAAACAACACGCGATGCAGCCACATCAGTCGACCGCGCATGGGAGTCGGATTTGTGAGCGAACGTTTTGAGAAGTGGGGTAATAGAGTTCCGGATATAAAATTGGTCGGACCGCGAGCGATGAGGTCTGCGCAACTGCATCACAAACGACTTTGACAATGGCTCCAATCGCAATCCCCGTTCACGAACACATTCAGGAGAAGGATACTGTCCAGCCACGGAAAGACTCGCTGGGATTGCCAGAGCCAGCCAGAAAGAGACTCGAGAAGGCGGGAATCGATCTGTCGGCCGGCTATCCGTACAGACCAGCAAAACCACTCTACCTTGACGATGTGTACAAGATCAGGGACTATGATCGTGAGCACATCGATCCAGGTGCCCGAGCCGATCCAGAGAAGCAAGCGCTGTTTGGTGCTGCGAAGGAAGTCATCCATTTGACATCACACATCGGGACCGAGATCGTTGGACTTCAGCTGAAGGACCTTACAGACCAACAAAAGGACGAGCTTGGTCTTCTGATCGCTGAAAGAAGCGTGGTGTTCTTCCGTGATCAGGATCTCTCGCCTCAAGAGCAGAAGAAGCTGGGCGAGTATTATGGCGAAATTGAAGTCCACGTGAGTAGTTCTTCCCCAAAGACGCTTCACGCGCTAACATCGAGTGAAGCCGCAAGTTCCATTCGTACCCGGTGTGCCAGGGGTGACGGTTCTATGGCCCGCTCTGCAGGCGACGGAAGTGCCAGCCAGCTTCCGGAAGACGGGTGGTGCATCTAGATGGCACACTGATCTGGTACACGAACGCCAACCTGCCGGGTAAGTGGTAGTATCTCGGAAGGATGTTCATTTCTGACTCTTTTAGCGTAACCCATCTCCACAACGATACCATCCCAAAGATCGGAGGTGACACCCTCTGGGCTTCAGGCTACGCTGCATACGAGAAGCTTTCTCCTGCTTTCCGAAAGATCATCGATGGCAGAGAAGCAGTGTACCGCAGTGCGCACCCGTACCTCGATCGTGATGATCCTAGTGCTGGCCCTAAGCACATCGAACGCGTTCATCCGATCGTTCGTGTCCACCCGGCAACCGGATGGAAAGCTCTGTGGGTCAACCGCGCCTTCACAGATCGCATTGTCGGACTAGACAAAGCTGAAAGCGACGTGATTCTCAACTACCTCTTCGATGTGTATGAAAACAACGTCGATATCCAGGTCCGGTTCCGCTGGACGCCAGGAACTTCGGCACTGTGGGATAACAGAATTACAATCCACAACGCGAGTTGGGATTATGGAGGAATTGAGCCGAGGCACGGGACAAGGGTCACGTCGTTGGCGGAGAAGCCGTACTTTAAGGCTGATGCACCGACTCGCAGACAAGCATTGGGCCTCGCAGGACCTGAAGATGTTTAGATGGTAGATGGTGGATGTGCGAAGCTGGACTGTACGGGAGACGCGTTCGAGCGCGAAGGCGCGAGCTCAATGCGCTAGCTACTACGCTATCCCTATCATGAACAAGCGTCATATATCTTGGCATGGCATCATCGACCCCTTGATGCTCCTCTCTGCATGCGGCCAACGCGTGTCCATAGACAAATACTATCATTGTTCGATTACCTTTATTCATCTTCCATCAATGTCCGCTATTCATAACCCCAGCAACTTCTCAGCATTCCTCCACGCAACTATGTCCATCTCAGCGTCGCTTGGTACCTGCGCTTCCGCCAACTTCTCCACGAACGCCCAGCCATCCGTATTGGTACCGAACGGATAATCGACCGAATACATGATCCTCTCAACTGGGCTCACCTGCCTAAGCTGATAGAACTGTCTCACAGTAAAGAATGCACTCGTCGTGCTCCAGGTATTCGTCTTCCACACCCGATCGAACGTCGCATCGGTGCGTAATCCCGTCAAATCGATTCGGTCAATGAACATGGGCAGCCTTTCGCCATTGTGTCTGATTATGAGCACTAGCTTGGCAAAGCGATCGAACAGTCCCGCGCTATAGAGGCGCAAGACAAAGGAGTCCGCATCGACATGCCAACCCCACGACGTTATCCCGAGCTTTCCCGTCACGGCGGCTGAAAAGTTACCCGCGAACAACTTGGATGCAATATCTGCGGTGGGAGTAGCAGGGTGTACGCACAGCGTTACGTCGAGTTCCTGCGTCGTGGCGAAGACTGGATGAAAACGTGCGGCGTCGTAGTACATTCCATCTTTGAGATGGTTCCAGACCATCGCGCCTGTGGATCCAAGGGTCGTGACGCTGCGGTTCAATTCTGCTTCAGCCTCTTCTGGAAGCGACATAGGCAGGACTGCGAATCCGGCGAATCGTGTGGGTCTGGACACGATCACAGAGTGAACAGCATCGTTTGCTCCGCGGCACCCCTCAGGATCTTCCAAGCCCAAGGCAGATTGCTGCGCAAGGACATGCATAGACAGATAACCGGCGTCCATAGCAGCGATGCGCACGGCACCGACATCCTTCAGCTTATCGAGCGTACCCGGGAGGTTGCGCTGCACTACACCTCCGGCGATCACCTCTGCTTCGAGCGACGGCGAGACAACGTGCTTTTCGAGGGCAATCAGACGCTTTGGGAGATAACGTGGTTCGAGCTGGAGGCAGGCGGGGGTATGCTATTTGTGCCTATGGCGAAGCCTACAAGTGTGCTGCGCTGTGGGCAGACACAAAACAGGACTGTCTAGGCTGGATACACCACGCGTGCTCACACAGGGTTTACACCTCATTATGCAGCTGAGTCATATCTGCTCCTCAGAGTAAGAGGAGAGTAGTAATTCCGTTGTGTCTGTGTAGACATGCATTTGCCGTGGTGCATCGTTTAGCTGTGTATGAAGAAGCCCCATCGCCTTTACATGATCACTTATCAAACTGGTGCTGATTTCATTGGCTAAGCTTCGCAATCGCCAGCGTGGCGCTGTAAGCGAGGCGATGGAGCGTCCCATCGAGACGGATCTAGATCGCGAGGCAGCCTGTTTCGCTGGAATCGGCGATAGGGAAGTCGATATTTGCGAGCCTTTGTCTGAGTCGGTCGTTCTTCGGGTGTATGTGCATGCAGGGTCAGTAGGTGCACGAGCTAGAGTATTGACGACGTCGATGTTCAACCAGCCGTACAGGACAGAAGTCATCTTAGGCCCATGCAATATTCGCTAGCAAATTGGTATTCGTATTGCGTCTAGAAAGCTTGGGAGTCGTTGTTGCGCTTCTCTTCCGCGGCCAACAACCTCAATGTACATGGCCTGCCCGCCAACTTCCAGTCACTGCGATGCCACGGTGGAGTTACTTGCAGCTGCCACGATGCCTCCGTCGCCAGAGTTGGTTCCCACAAACACCACCAGAACAGCAGCATACGATGCTGTTGAGACAAGCGCTTCGACATTAGAAGTTCTGACTCCAAACGATAGTACAAGCGCGAATAACAAGGCCGACACCGACACCGTAATGAGACTTTTCTTTTGCGATGTGTCGATAGCCATGACCAGCATCGGGGCGATGAGGAATAGTCCACCCGTGATTGCTATCACGAAACGGGCAAGGTGATCGACAAATGGTGACACGTCTTTGGGCTCTTTACCCTCTTCATACTCCATCGAGCGATCCAACCGCTCATTTTTGGAGTATGTGAAGTAGACAGGCAGTGTCCTCATCAAGTAACCGCGAAAAGGATCAGTTGTGGTGTCCGCCTCGTCGAAGTAGGCGTAGTGAGAATAAAACAATTCGCCGGTCCCGAACCTACGCTGGAACCACCGCTGGAGCAAAATTCTTCTCCCATGCATGTCTTTCCTCGCCACACTTCTTCGGCTTCGAAGGAATTGGTAGTCCCGAATTGCGGTAACTAGTATTCATCAGTTACGAGGTGCTCCTAGTTAGCTGATGTTCCTACTAGCTCTTACCATAATCTTTGAGGGTATCTTTGAGATCTTTGAGGTCATTGGCTGAGACACTCTTTGCGTTTTGGAACTGCTGTTTGAGTTCGAATAGCTCTATCTGCTGTGCAACGATGTTGGTCCGTTGGAGCGACTCAAATTGTAGAAAGTGAAACTCCTCCTCATCTTCAAGCGATCGAGCAACGTATTGCAACAAGTCGGCGTGGTTTTCTAGGTTCGCCATGAGCGCATATCAGGATGTAAGCTGACTCTGTTGCATTTCCCGGCGGCCGCTGGTTTTAGGAATCTGCGTCCAATACATTACTCAGCCCATGCATCTCAGCTGCCACCCCCGCTTCCATGCCCCCCTTCACTTTTCAGCTCATCACTTTTCAATTCTCAGAAGTCCCACAGTTAGCCACCCACGTTATGGGTACCAACCTTTCGACCTCCGCGCGTTCGCGCAAACGTCTGCCTATGCTTCCCAATGCTGTCAACATGAGCATCGCGTCGAGGGCCTCACGTTGCATAGAATCTAATCCCGCATCGACCACTGGTAGAGAGATAGATCGCCATCTCGACGCTCACACCAGGTTTCTTCGGGCTATAATGAAACCCAAACTCTTCCGTAGAGACAGCAAAGGACAGAAAAAGAGCTTGGAAGATTACAGCGCTGCTCTAGCACGATTGGACGCGACATTATCGAAGCTCTTTGAGGCATTATTGAAAGCGGATCGCCAAATGACGTTTTCAGATTGGAAGAGTAAGCGAAAGCGAGTTGCAAGTCTGCGGAACCGTCCAAGGCTGACGGAAACGTAGTGCTTAATTCCAGCCTTGTCGTTATACACCAAGATATGAAAATGACGTTCAAAAGGGCTGAGAAGGTAATCAAGTCTAAGGCACAGAACGCCAAGATCCACACCAAAAGCAGGAAGTTGCGACGAATAAGAAGCGACGTGGAAGAAATCATCAGGTCGATTCCGAAGAGGTCTGCACGTACAGCTCCACGCAAACACACTTGATCAAACGAGCACTCTTCTCTCACTACTAAATCTCTTATCATAATGCTGTTCTCGCCTATTCTCATTAGATATTAGGTCCCGCGACTAAGAGATGGGTTGATACTTAGTCCAAAAACGCAGTCAATGCTTGCTCATAGTGCTGCTTCTCTATGTGAGACGAACTAGATGATACTTCGACAGGATACGACATGGTATGTAAAAGCGCTAAGAATGATGGTGTCATTTCTCCAAAGAGTCTTTGAGTGAGTCTGAATGAGTCTGCGTGGATCTGAGTGACAGAGCAAGACCTCGTTACTGCTTTCATTATTGATAAGTGATATTCACAGGTCGGGACATAATGACGCTGCGCATCCCATCAGACCCAGATTCGCTTGCGCTACACTTTGTGTTTGCAAAGACGAAACATTGTCAGCATCCCTGCGCGATCGTCAAGTTCTTGTATTCCTCAGCTTGTCACCGCAATGCATCCTGTAACTCCGCCTACCGCGCGAGCACTGTGTCGCGCCTCTAGCGTCGACAACAAACACTTGCAAAAGTTTCTTTTCGCTTCCAAGTCCGGATTGTCGCCTGCCAGAACCATAGTATCGATATCAGCGAGTAGTTGCTTATAGATGCGCATTTCGGCAGCGGATGGAGCCGTCTCAGCTGCGTTATGGATATGATGTGCAAGCATGGTGACGAGCGCTGCGATGAGATAAGGATATACCATCCTGTGAAAAGATTAGTATACGTTGGAACGAGTTAAAGACGCTACTGACCAGTACAAAGCAACATTACCCCGAGGTGCTACTGGCAGTAGACTCAGCAGCCGTTGTGCCTCCAGATATGCTTTATGTTGCTTCATCTTCGACATCTTGATCAAGCCGTCCAGCTCGAAAGGGTTGGTCTCCGAACTCATGTCCATCGCCGTGACCGCATGTAGTCGATATACAGTTCCGAAGTAGTACGCTTCAAGTGCAACACAATGACAGATATCTGCTCGGTATAGTATTTGTTCCAACTGGCTAGCGGAGAGATGGAAGATGTGGTGTTGCTCGTGAAAGGCTTGCAAGCGAGCGAGCACGATGGCTGTCGCGGCGCTTAGGTCCAGCGGAGTTGTGTTACTTGTCTTACGAGAGAGCACCTGGTCAATGGCTTCGGTCTGAAGTAAGGCTATTCTTGTGAAGAGCCAGAAGATGTGCGCTCGCCAAGTGCCCTCGGTCGCAGTGAGCGCACCAAGCTCGTCTGCTACAAAGTCGGAGCAGTTGGCTACGTCTTGAAGCTGGTGTGTTGGTTGCGTGTTGCTCAAGATGCTCAGGCTGATGTCGTTGGTGAAGCAGATCCAAAAAACGCGACGCTGGTGTGCGCCGTCACTGAGTTCCTGCGCCGTTGCATTGCTTTTCTTGCCTTCGTTGGCTAGACTTCTGATGACACGGAGGGCGGTGGAGACGAATTGACCCGCTGGCTTCTTATTACTGCATGGGCTGGCGACGATGAGTAACGCGATACCGACAAGGCATTGTACCTGTCCTAAGGATGGCGGCGCTGTGAGAAGAGTGTCAAGTGTGGAGTAAGCGCGGGCAAGGTAGTACTGAGCCATGTCCATGTTATGGCTGTCACCAGTCGAACTCATGCCACGCATGTGATGTGCCATACCAAAGACGATGTACGCACTCGTCCAAGCGATTGCTGAATCATCAGGCAGCCCTGCATAGCATGTCCGAAGGTGGTCGGCAATGACATGTGGTTGGTAGAGCGGATAGGCGGTATTTAGGTCAGTCAGGAACTCCGCAAGCAGTGTCGTTCCGAGCTCTGGGGGTGGGAGATACCAGTCACTCGTTGGACTGGTTACTATTGGCAGCGGTGATAGATTGACATCCTCCGTCGGCCCCGTCCCAAATTGTGCAGCTTGCAGGAAAGCAACATCCTCTTGGAAGTTGGCAGAGGAATAGATGCCATCTAACGGAGCCTGCAACGAGGGATCTAACGTAGAAGAGTCGTGACTAGAACCGCCGGTAGACAACGCGCCCAGGTCGTCTGCAAACAAACCATCATTGTCTGGCAGGAAGCTTTCCATGTCAAAAGGGTCGAAGTCTGGAAGCAGGGGATGTGGACCAGCCTCCACCTCATGACGCAACGAATCTACCCATGTTGAGATTGGGGGTGAATGTTCTGTTGTTTGCATGACCGGTTGTTGGCGCACGTTTGGTTGTGCCACGTTCCGCTCGTGTAGCAGCGACTCTAGCCTCTTGATCCGATCCTCATACTCAGATATGCGGTTGCTGAACCATCGTCAATGACATTTCGATCTGTGTAATGCTGCCAGATCATACCCTCTTTGTGGTTTCGACCTTTGTTTGCGCGTGTACGTGGTCATGCACGTTTCTTTCAGATTGGTGCACGGGGAGCAGCCCTGAGGACCGTGGTTCCACACGCATCTTCGCTTCCGTTTGCGACACAGATCACAAGCCTAGAAGACGCGTTAGTTCTCTGGTAGACGCGTTTTGAGCGCTCGGAATGCGATGTTCGATGCTCTATAGCTGTAGGCGGATGTCGTGGCAGAGCCGCGTCTGGATCGGATGCAAGGACCCGCAGGCGGCCTAAGCCGGATAAATGCTAGCAAACCTACTTACTCGCACCGTGGACGCAGACCCGCGTTTCTCGACGCCACTGCTCGACATCGTGAGTTGCCTGATGGTATAATGAGACCCAGATATGCTGACATGCTGTTCGGTCTGATGTCTCATGTCGCTAGCAGAATGGCCGATCCCCGCCGCCCAGTCCGCTGACAAATCTAAACTAGTCACCACTGCCATACAAAGGTTCACTTTCTTCGAACGAACACTACTGTGAGCTGGTAGA